ATCGCATATTTTCCAACCAGGGCATGCGCAAAAGGAGAACTAAACTTATTCTCTAAACTTCTTGAAGCTGTTTTGTTATGATAGTGAGGCTACGGCATAAAAGCCGTTAAGCTGAGAGGGTAAAAGCGGCCCTGGTGGCGTAACGGATAGCGCACTCGCCCGGAAAGCGTGAGGTGCGGGTTCGACTCCCGCCTGGGGCACGACTTTTGCCCACAACTCAGCATTCTTGTGATAACAGTCCTCTTCATTGCAGACCGGTGGGCGGGTGAGCCGCGTCACGCGCAGCGCGGCTCACCCGCCCCACCGGTCTGCAATGAAGAGGACTGTATGACTTCCTGATCTCTGGATCTTTTTCATCTGATATTGAGTTTCTTCACATTGGTAGTAGTAGATCCGATCATAGTTTCCCCAACCCTATTTGATTTGAAAGCAACTCTCGCACAGGTTGAGGATGCACATTATGCAGCCAGCAGGACCTTGTCATTTTTACTTTCACCGCAGTGTTACTCGCAACATTGTCAAACATTTGTTATTCAGTGCTATTATCCCACTTCTTATCCAAATTGATCAGCGACTTGAACTAACTACTGAACAAATCGTATATTCATATCGGAGTATTCTGCCCAGAGAAGGCGTCCGCATGTACAAATAATAACTGTATGAGACGCCTGGTCTCTAGCGCCTGGACTTCGGTGCGAGGCATTTCCCTCTAGGGTCGATGCTATGTTTGTGCTTATGTAATCAGAAAACTTTTACGCTACGTTTTAGCTGAATCTTCAGCTAGGAAAAAGCTGGCTCAGGAAGTAGCCTGAATCTACTAGAGCGAGTAATCAGTGCCGAGAAAGGTTGAACTGGTCTTTGCCGTTTGTTGGGCCGCATTTAGAGGATATGTCGTCGCACAAACGCCTTCAATTTTTGCAGAATTGATGGTTTCTGAAGGCACTAATTTTTGTTGGACTGCATAATTGCAAGCTGCCGAATGCGCCCGCGCCAAATGCAGAGCGCTGACAATGAATCATGGGGAAAGCGTATGGTTTCAGATGAGCCGCAAACCTGCAGTTGATATGCTTCTAATGTGTGTATCTTTGGGGGTTTATCTGGAAGACAGGTATAATTGAAGGCGAAAGCTGTTCCACAGGCGCGGAGGGTAATCCCCCATTGAGACCCTGTATTACTAGTTCAGTTCAGAGTTTGTTACGAAAAAGGTTTCCAAGGTTATTCAAAAGTGAAAATTTTCAAAAATGTTACCTTCATATACTCAGTGGTTAGCGTTGGATTTCTTATCGAAAAGGAAACAGGAGAATGGGTTAGGCAGGAGTCTTTTTGAGCGAGCTCATAATCAGATGTATACTGTGGAAACAGAAGACCTGTCCATCCAGGAACACTTAACTTTCCCAGGAGTCATATCGAGATGTGGGGCCAGGGTACAGCATCGTTGTGTGAAACACGTGGGGGGTCGTACTTTTTTTCCGGGAGGGGGGGTCGTATTTCGTCCTTGGGAAAGACGGGGGAGGGGTCGCTGAGAGAAACGATTTTCCGATGTTGACTTTTCACGTGATTTTTCCTGTTTCATGTCCTCTATATACCCCTCCCCTGCTCCACGGAAAATTTTTGGGTGAAAAAACTGGCTCTTGCGAACGCGCGCCTTCTCCGTAACGCTGGCCTGCCTAATATATTCATACGGAAAAGCATGACTTCGGAGGAACGAAAACGTGAATACGAGCTGCGACAGGAGGCACGCGAACGAAACAAGGGCAAAGCGAGCCGGGAATGG